CAACTTGGGCCAGTGAAGCAACGTCCTCCACAACTAGACTGAAGAACAAAAGGACAGCAACTTGTCTGTTCCCCTTCCTCCAATTCCCCAGCGCTGTTCCCATCTCCCAATTCCCCAATAAAAATCTTCAAAAAAAAAATCTACAACTTGACGCACAAGAACTGTGGTTCAAAGCCTCCCAGCCTCCTTGCAGTGCTGAGGGTTGCAATCTCGTGTGCTATGCTTGGTGTTCACAGCCTAGAATGATGCCTGACACATAGATGCTCAGTAACTGTTTATTTACTCTGTGCATGAGTGGTGATCCACAGACAGGTTGGCAGAAAGGAAGCAGGGGGGTAGTCAAGGTCTGGGTGGCTTGCAGCACGTGCAAATGAACGGATGAGGAGCAAGAAACATATTTGTGTCAAACACCTTGGGCACAATAATTTGAAATGTAACAGATGGACAAATGTAGCAGTGTGGGTACTGGAATGTCTGGAAAGAGAAATTCTGAAAATGATGACTTTGCAGTACCATGTATTAAATTGGGTCTTCAAGTTAAAAAAATTTGTATATATTTTCATTTGTGTCTATACACACACACACACACAGACACAATCACACGGTATGCTCCTTATTTTGTTCTAATAACATTGTTTTTTCTGCTAAAGTCAGTAATTCAAGATAGTTGCAACAGAGGGCAGAATTGTGTAAGAAATTTAAACACCTTTTTCATCTTGCCTGAAAAATCACCCCCAAATACAAATACAGATTGAGTTATAGAAATATTCTTCTTTGACTCCCTGGTTTTCAAAATTTACATACCAAGATTATTTAAAACCTCTAGAGTTATTTTTCATGTCGTAGTTTAAAATACTTGGTAATATGTGTAAACCTGAACAAAAAGCAAAATGCCGATCCCTTGAGAGAGAAACACTGGAATACGGATAATGTGTTTAACTCCTGTATGTAAAGAAAGCTCTTTATTCCTGTCCAAATATGCTTTAGGATTATTTGCTTTTCTTTCTATTCTAGTGCTGGAATGCAGGCTTTCTAAGGTTACTGCCACAGACAAATGCCGATGAATGTTCTTCACTGGAAGATTTTTGAAGCTTATGGGCAAGACCGATGAAACACAAGAGTTGTTCTTGAGTGTTGAGAACCTGTTAGGGCAGGTAACGTGGGTGATAATTGTAAATCCTTCAAACGTTATTCCTTTTGTGTTGGGTAGTTTCAAATATCCTTTACCTTTGTTCCTTTACAATTTAGTTCACAAGTCGAGAAATCAATTAGTTATGTTCATCAGTGAGGAAGTGACAATTTTAATTCATACTCCAAACTGGATATTAATGACAAGAAGCAGTAAGTAGATGGGAATCATTACAGAATAAATGAATACTAATTGGTATCATTTGGGGAGAAAAAGGAATGTTCATAAAGCGAAAAGGGAACTTGAGTAGTGAATTGGAGTGAATTAATAAAAGACTGGTTAAAAACTTGGCTATAATTTTTATAAAGATGTTAGGGAAGGTTGATTATCTTGTCTCTATATTAATTTACTTTTCCTGAACTATGAATGTTTCGCTTTGTTGAATGTGATGTAACTTTTACTCAGAACTCCTAACTATGCTTATGATGACATTTAACTGCCCATCAAGAAAATTATAAATTTTCACTGATTTCAGTATAATATGTGGACCCAGGATAGCATAACCTAAGACAAATCTGTCTTTATTTTTAAGCAAAGTCTTACAGATTTTCATAAAACCGTGCCTCCAACCCACTGACACACATCTCTCTATATAAGGAATTCTATTTAAAGAGATTTGTAAGATAAACATTGCAAATCTCTTTATGGCAGAGACTATGCTTATCTATTAATACCAATTTTTGTATCCTCCATGGTATATTACAACCCACAGGTGCATAATAAATGTGACAAATGCATGAATTTGAACTTGCAGGTATTTCATGTCCTCAGAAGAACTGAGCATGGGCTGTTTTCAGGCTGACCCAAATTTAAAGTTCTTTGGCACTGACCGCTGTGTGACCTTGGCAAGAACCTTAACCTCTGACCCAGTGAGTTCTCCTTGCTGAGGATTCTCATATGTGTCTCCTGGGGCTGTTAGCAGGTTAAGTGTGAAGGTACACAAAGCATTTCACACACAGTGTGGCATATTGTGAGACCTTAAGAACTGGTAGCTATTTCGTTATTAACACCTGTGGGTTGTAAAATAACTGAGGCCTAAGTTAGAAATCATATGAAAGTTTGATTTAAGCCGTTTTGAGCACTCTTTCATCTTCTGGAGAGGAGAGTCTGGTGATTCCCTGCTGTTTTATTATGACTGAAATTTCGCCCTGCACCAGATGATGTTTTTCCCACGAGGTCTGGATTTCCATAACTGACGCGTCTGTCTAGTTGACACAGACGTGTCTGTCTGGAAGCACCAATTATTTTATTAGTGCTGAGTGCCTGATAACCATCGTTCACTCATTCATTCCCTGAGGGCCCTGCCGAGCCCGAGCACGGTGCCAGGGGCTGGGGTGGTAGTGGCGAACGAGGCAGGCATCGTTTCTGGCCCCATGTAGCTCCCAGTCTAGCTGGAAGTCCCTGCCAACAGCCACATCCGTGAGGAAGCGTGACTTGTGAAATACGCTGGCCGTGAAGGGAGGAGGCTGGCTTCATAGGAGGTGTGCCAAAACTTAAGACATTTCAAGGGAATGTCCCACTTCGGAGCACTCCTTTAGGAGGCATCAATCTTATGATTCTATTCTCAAAGTATTTTTGCAACAGCTCTTTGAGACTGGCCGCCATGGAGACTGCTGAAAGAATTTTCTTTGGTCTCTGAGGGCACTTCCAAACGAGAGGTTCTCAAATGATTTCGTAGGGCATTCACGACTTCTTTGAAATATGTGCCTCGCATTCTTGAGGGGAAAGATCTTGGTGGTGGTGATGTATACAGTCTGGACTCTACCACATTTATCATTTCTTCAACTTAGGTCGTTTTAAAATTTTAATGTAGTGCTTTTCAACTATGAGGCAATTTTGTCCCCCAGGGACTATTTGACAAAGCTGGAGGCCTTTTTGGTTGTCACAGCTGGATGGGGGTTGCTACTGACGAGCCCCCCTCCACCTCCCTCACACACACATACACACCCACGTAGCGCAGAGTTATTCTGCCCCAAATGTCAATGGTTGAGAAACCCTGATTTAAATGGCATGTTGGTTTAAAAAGTAGGTCTCGCGCCAGAGAAGAGCGCGATGATGGTGCCAACTTGGGCCAGTGAAGCGACATCCTCCACAACTAGATTGAAGAACAAAACGACAGCAACTTGTCTGTTCCCCTTCCCCCAATTCCCCAGCGCTGTTCCCATCCCTCAATTCCCCAATAAAAATGTTAAAAAAAATAAATAAAGTAGGTCTCATTCTCTCCCGGCTACTATTTCACAATAGGTGCCCCAGGCAGCAGGAAAATCAAAGGATACATCTGTGAAGGGGCCTCTGTTTATGCAGCAGGTCTCACTTGTTAAAAAAAAAAAGCTGTACAGAGCAGGGCTTGGGAGACAGGCAGGTCTGGGTCGGTCACTCTGGCTTTCCTACTTGACTCGGAGACTGGGGATGGGTAGGGATGCAGGAATGAGGTCAAACAATTGCAAGTCAACAAAGTTCAAGACAGAGATGAATGAACAGACTGTCATGAGAGAAACAGTGGTATGTTTACGGGGAAATAACTGTCATCTACTCTTTCTCAACTTTGAGTGCATTTGTCAGCAGCTAGCCCTCCACAGACGAGTTCCTTTTCTTCCTCGCTTCTCATTTACTGCCCTTTGATTCCTACCTGCTCTGACCCCATTTTGTCTTCTCTTGTGGAAGTCACCAGGAGCGCCCTAAATGTGTCTGTACTTTGATCTTGTTGGTCCTTACCTGCTTTAGTGTTTGACAGTGTCAGGCGCTCCTTTCCTGAAATGATATTCTCTTGGTTTCTGAGCTATGCCCCCTCCCCCATGGATATCTTCTCTGATTATACCTTCTCAGTTTATTTCAGGGGTCTCCTCTTTCTCTCCCTGACTCTTGTCCATTGGCAGTGTTCTCTGGGGCTCAGTTCTTGGACTCTATGCTTGTCTCGGTCTTAGCACCTTCATCGCACCTGTGTGGGGTAGCCATCATTCTAGAAGGCAATGGCTCCTGAACTGCATCTCCTCAGACCTCTGTCACCAGCTGCACACATGTGCGACAATCTGCCTATTGGACATCTCCATGGGGGTATTCCAGAGTATTGGGGCATTCCAGAGTCTGCATGCTGAAGATGGAACACGTCCATCCCCTTCTCCTTACAAAATGCGTCTTCTCCCGACTCACCCAGTGCCGAAAACATGGCATCATCGTAATGATACATCTTCAGGATATTTATCATCAGTCACTATGCTAAACACATTATACATTTTCTCATTTAATCTTCACAACAACTCTATTATCTTCATTTTGAACATGAGAAAACTGAAGTTTAGGAGTTGAGGACACCTGCCCAGTTTCTAAGTGGTAGAGTCAGGATTAGCCCCTGGAAAGCCTGATTGCGGGGCCTCTGTGCTCAGGTATGGTGTCACTTCCAGGAATTTATTTCTCAGAGTTTCAGAGGCTGAGAAGTCCAAGAGAAAGACACCAGCAGGCTCATTGTCAGGTGAGGGCCCATTTCCTGGTTCCTAAACAGCCATTTTCTCACTGTGTCCTCACATGGTAGAAGGAAGGGGCTGAGAGCTCTCTGGGGTCCCTTTTCTAAGGGCATAGATCCCATTCATGAAGGCCCCACCCTCATGACCTAAGCACCTCCCAATACAGTCTTCTTGGGGGCTAGGATTTCAACAGAAGAATTTTAGGGGCTGAAGTTCCCTAGCACATGCATAATGCTTACATATTTAGAGATATAACTAACTCCAGGGGATGGTTAGAGTGTGGGGTCTGTATACCTAACTTAGTAAGGGTGAGGGAGGGAGAGAAGGGCACTTATAGAAAAGCAAGTGATTTGTGGGAAGATAAGGGGACCCTTTGTAGACTAGATGATATATCCTTTGTAACAGTGTCTGAATGGGTGTAGTGCCAGCTTCCTGTGTCCTGGAGAAGAAGATTTGAGTTGCTACTGGGGTGGGGTTTCATGACCCTTGAGTTCTGTCATGAGGCTCTGCTTTTAGGCATATAAGGAATTTCAGGAGCTCAAATGCCTTCAGCTCAAAATAATTCTTAGGTGATTGTGGCATACTTTGGGGTGGCATACTCACATCCTCTTTACCTACCTTTAATGGAAAATGTCTGTCTAAATGGAATGTGCCTGAGTGGACTCCATAAAGTAAGAAGTAAGCCAGAGCCACATACGGTTTGGGACTCATCACCATTAGGTATTTCTAAAGAAGTATTAGGCCCTCTTTAAAAGTGTAACCAAAACATTAGTCATCAAAACAATCTTGTTTAAAGTCAATACAGTGTATTTTTGCATTGAGGAAAAAGAACAACTGTGGTATACTGATGATTGCATTGTATTTATTCAGCAAGTATTTAAGTGCTGTAGACATTGTAACACGTGGTGGAGATGTGAGGGTGTATTCTTTTCCCTGACTGGTGTGTAAACCTGGGGTGGTTTGGGAGAATCATTCACCCCATAAAGATAAATAAGCCTGCTATGCCACCTTGGAGAACTCAGCAGGAACCTGCCCATGGGAGTGGCAGCTCAGTTGTAAGTCATTGCTTGCATCTGCCTTTGTGATTTTAGTTTGGAGTCACGTTTATCAAACTACTGTTTGTTTCCTTTGTCTGTAGCCTGTCTCCCTTTGGTGTTCTGCAGGGAGCTGCTTATCACTTTGAAGTGGTCCCCTGAGGTCTCCCACTTCGAGTTTTATGAACGCCATATGGCCTGTATTTCAATGCAGATCATCCTAAATCCTAAATTTGGTCATAGTGTCTTGGTCTTTTCTGGACGCAGTAACAGGAAAAGACAAATAGATGGAAAGTAGGACTGTCCTAAGTGTTCTGGGGTACAAAAGCAAAGATGATAGATAACTCCTACTTTCAAGGAAGGTCTTGTTTTATGAAGAGGCAAAACAAATCTATAATAAAAAATACAACACATATGTACAGTTTCAAGCATAACCTGGCTGGAGGGGACTGAACTGGGGTTTAGTTTTAGCACTGCCATAATCAGCCACGTGACCTTTGGCAAGTCACAACTGTTATGATGGAAGGTTCGTGTGCCCGATGCTTCAAAAGTCCAATATTCAAAACGTCAGAGTTTGGAATAAGGAAAGGTTTGTTGACCAAGAAGGCACTAGCTTGAGAGGATGGAGGTCTTAAGTACTTCAACAAATCCATGTTAAGAGTGCCCCAAATTCAGCAGTCTTTTTTTTTTTTAATGTTTTTTTTCTTTTTTGTTTTTTTGTTTGTTTCAGGTATACAAAACAAATCAGCCGTCTTTTATGTCATGGAAGAGAGGAGGGGTGGGGCAGTGGGTAAGGACCGCAGACAGCTAAACACTGACAAGGATCCAAGGAAGAGCTCAGTCTCTGTCTCTTTGTTCCTGATTTGTTCCTGGTTGGTCCATTGACCCCCGCTGAGCTGAGTCCTGTCTTGAGGCTCCTGTCAATCTTTGATAAACAGGTATCATTTTGTACACATGTCCCCACCTCTTCAGGAGAGACACCTTTTGACAAGGGTCTGTTTTTGCAAAATACTCAAGTCTCAAGCAGAATTCCACCAGTTAATTAGCATATTGGTAGCAGGAGCTCTTAGCCTGAAGGCCATGGGAGAAATGCTGGCTAGAATTTATGACAGAGTCATAGAGAGACAGAGAGAAAGAAAGAGAGAGAAGAGTTTCACTGTTACACAAGCTCTCTGGCCCTGGTGTAGCTCTGGTTCCATCTGTAAAATATGGGTGTTGAGTTCTCTGAGACCCTCTACAGAGTTAATATTCTGTCCGTGCTTACATGTAAAGGAAGGCAGTGATCCGCAGTGGAGGGTTTTTCAGAGAGCGTCTCTTGGGAGGGACCCTTAAGGAAGCAGACAGAGGATGTGAATTGGCAGAGAAGGGGCGTTTCTGTGCGGGTCTCAGTTGCCTTTAGCTTAAAATAATCCCCATACCACAGGGGCACATCTTGGGTTGACTCATTCTCATCCCCTGCAAGTCATCACAAGAGATTTCTAGTATAATATGCTAAAATAGTATTGTGAATCCAGAGTCATAAAGGAGCTTAAAGGACACTTTTCAACACTCTTTTTCTGTTTCTTTCCAATGTGAGTATTTTGACCTCTCAAACAGACTGTGAACAAGGGTCTTGTGATGTTTTTTTTCTGTGTACCTTCAAAGCATCAGAAATGGTGCTAATTGTACATAAGTGCTCTGTCAAGGCAGGAAGGGTAGAAAGTGGGTAAACAGGTGTTTTCTGGGCATTTACACAATTTTTCTGGGTATTCCACAGAAGTGCTGGCTGGGCTCCAGGCTCACAACAGTGAAAGAAATGGCTTAGATTGTTTTTCAGTCTACTGAAAACAATAATCTGTAGTTGACTTTTCAGATTTCAGTTTGGTTTATAGTTTAACGATGATAATTGCTATCTTGAAAGTCTTGGCATCTTCCTGAGTCTTATATAATATTATTACATTCGATCAACTTGTGGAATACAGTGTAATCCTCCATAGGGTATGAAAATAGTGAGCTTCCAGCAATGATCAGATTTTCATTATACTTATCACATTTTTATGCATGAGATTATAGTAAACACCAATTAAAATTATGGATTTGTGAGAGGGCGCTAAATCCTAAAATGAAATCTTTCTGTTTAATAGATCCTTTACAGCTCATCTCATCTCAATTTCTATCCAGTTTTAAGAACAAACCTAATAAAACCATCAATTCTAGAGATTTTTGTACTAATCTTGACTTTAAGAAGGGTTTTTTTGTAATTTATGTTCCAAGCTACCTCTGACACAGAAGGATCTTATTATTCTCCTTCTTGGATAAGTGGTTTCAATCTGCCTGTTGAGAAACCATTTCAGTGGGAGGAAAAAAACCCCCCAGAAACATGGCTTTTCATATTCCATTATATCAAGCTGAGTGTTCTGTACTGAATTGTTTATTTTGGATGAAGGATGGTAGATGAACATTACGTGACTTCCCTCTCCCTGGGGTTCTTTTATAAAAAGAAATGCCAACCATCTCAGTCAAATGTAGAAGGAAGAAAGTAAACAAAGCCACTAGTGGCTGACTTTTAGGGTGAGTCAGTCCCTTTCTCCTCATTTGATTTTCAAATGCTTGACTCAGCCAGAAA